GTACGGAGGCATCTGCTCTCGGAGTGGGAGGCTGACCAGGCTTTGGAGGTGACAGGGATGCGGCAGCGGGCGGCGGGCCCACAGCGGCTGAGGCACCAGGCGGGGAGGGAGCAGCCCGAGTGGGCCGGGAGAGCTCGTCCTCGTGGCCGGCGAGAAGGGCTCCACGGGGCCGGGCTCTCAGGGAGCCAGGGGGGGCTGTGCGCGCATCTCTCCAAGGAACACAGGTGGGCAGGCGGCACAGAGACTTCCGCCACTCGGGGTGTCACCCGCGGCCCAGGACATGGGGTGGGGGGGCGGGGGCACCCCCGGAGGTGCCCTCCCACGGGCAGGGAGGATCTGGGGAGGAAGCCAGCCAGGTGTCCACCCCCAATCCCCGCGAAGCTCACCCCAGCCCTGGAGGCCGACAGGTGGTGACGGCACCGTGGCAGGGCGTCCCACGAGCCCCAGTCCCAGACACCATGTGTCCCCACCGTGGTCCCCGCTCGGGCCCCGGCCTGGGAGCTGGTGAAGCCACACGTCGGCACGTGCCTGTAGCAGGGACGCCGTGTGTATTTGCCCATTCTCAAAGCTGTTCAGGCCTTGTGGATATAATTTAGATACTGTTTTTACTGATTACGAGTATGTGCCGTCATAGTAAGACCCTGGAGAATTCAGAAAACCGTAATGAACCACCTTTCATCTTAGCCCTGTGAGCTCCCCAAGCCGCGCTCCTGTTCCGATGCCCCGGAGGGAGGCTGTGCTGCGCGGGGGACGGCGGGCGCCCGAGGAGCACCCCCAGCGCCGGCTCCAGCGCGTTCTCCAGCGCAGAAGTTTAAAGAGGACGCTGGCCGGCCGGGGCAAGCTGCCCTCCCCAGATCAGCCCGTGAGCGCGTGAAAGCACTTGGGATGTGTTAGATTCCCGGCTTGAGAAGCCCTGACTCTGTTCTGAAGACGGGGGTGCTTTGATTTCCTCGCGGCTAATCCAGGCAGGATCCTCGCCCTCCCCAGGCAGAGAGCAGTGTCTGCTGCATCCGGTCACCTCGGAGGGCAGGCAGCGGGCTGGGCCTGAGGCCGGGCCACCCCCTGGACTGGGCTGACCTGGTCCCACATGTCCCTCAAGCCGGGCGCTTTTATTACACGCCTGACCCCTCCCGTCCAGCATGGTCAGCACATCTTACTGGGCAGTTTGCTTTTTTAAAAACTGCGCTCTGGTTTTAAGTGAACAGCCCCTAATTAGAGTGCCGTACAAGGTACCTGGGGACCAGGTAGCGTGGAACGCAGGAGGCTGATGGTCACGTCCTGGGAACACGGCAGCTCCGGAGAACCGGGACCCGGCCCCGGGCACCACGTCAGGGGAGCAGCCGGGAGCCATGGGGGGTTTGCCTGGACGCGGGTTGAGATGAGAGAGAAGCACTGAGCCCTGCTTCCGGGTCTTGAGGGCGGCCGGGTGCCCGGAACTGCCCGGCAGCAGGGTGAGCACCGGGCGATGCCCGCGGGTGGACAAGGGGTTCCGGACAGCTCCCTGTTGGTCGGGGTTGAGCCGGGCCTGCTCATCGGGAGTGGCAGCCCCGGTGCAGACACCACGAGGCGCATCTGACCCGCATGCAGAGCCTGCAGGGGCCTGGGGAGGTGCCCAGAGGTCCCCCAGTTGAAGTCGGAGCGGAAGGCCACCTCTCAGGGGAGCAGGGGGCTGAGGGAGGGCCAGGTTGGGTGGGGGGGGGG